ATGCTTAAATGGCAAAATCCATGCATCATATCGGTGGATACTGTCGTCATGTACTATCTAGGGTTGAGGACCGAGCGAGACTTTGATGAGGAGCGCAGACGCGTTGCTTTTTTACCAGCTCGTAGCCATCATTTCGAGCTAAAGCCCTGCTTTCTGATTACCCTCAGGCCCTAAATTGCACACCTACTCCTCCCTTCCTCCTGCTCCTTCTCCGCTGCTACTGCGAGAAATGCTGATTTTTCCACAGTTGTGACCATGATGACGGGCTGTACTGCGACCACCCAACTACTTACTCAAGTATGCAGATGGGTGAGTCCCAAAACCCCCAACCCATTGCCTTGCCTGTAGCCTTTACTGGCCTTTGGTCAGCCAGTGATGAAGGAAGGGATCCCTCTAGTAGATAACTCCTTATGGTAGTTTCCATTTTCTTTTCCATTCCTCCATTCCAAGCTGACCAAAGGCCAGTTTAGTCCCTAAACCCTTAACCCAAACCCCCTAAACCCTAAACCCAAAACCCTTAAACCCCAAACCCCTAGACCCAACCCCCCTAAACCCTAAACCCTAAACCCAAGACCCTAAACCGCGTCTACCAGCCTCAGGCCGCGTGTATGAGGGGTATGTACGACGGACGGCGGGATCCTCAGGCGGAAAGATTACATATAGTACCCCTAGTATCCCCTTAATATCCCCCATAATCGTACCCTCTATAATGCCTTATATAAGCCTCATTAAGGAGTTTAGACTATAGCTCATGAGGTGTCAGCTGAGCTTTGTTGGCACACCCCGTAAACCTCCTTCTTTGTGGCTGAGCTTTTGGGGTTTAGGGTCCAGATGTTCAGTAGGGTTCAGAATTTACTCACTGGTGGCTAGCAGGGAATGAGGAAATGGTCTTAGGGACTACGCCGCAGTAATGTGCACGAGGTCGATAGAAATCATCCTGCCTTATCAAAGCGGGCACCTCAGGGATTTGTAAATAAAACATGTGGTGTTCAGCTACCAAAATTAGCAGATGCATCCTCTATCCACCCCTTTAAACGGACTCCATGTCATTTTTCCATGTGCATCTCAATTATTGGGGCAAAATCCCTAAACTTGAATCCCTAAACCTGCCCTAACCCTGAACCCAAGACTGTATGTGTGCACTTTGGGACTTTGGCATGCCGTGGCTTTCTTGTCTCGAAAGGTTGAAACCATGGGCCCCTAGTATGGGCCCTTAACCCTGGGATCCTCCTATACCTACTGTATACCCCATATGTACCCTTAAGGGCCCCTAAAAGGCCTAAAGGGGGGCCCATACTTCTAACCTGAGATGTTTGTTTTCCACCAAACACCAAGTTCGGTCCAAGTCTAAGTGTCCATGCATCTGGCTTCTTCTAAATGAGGATCTGCCATACTTATGCCCCCCCTGTTGGGCTCCTGTTGTAAAAAAACTCCCAACAATATATGAGCCATTGTCTAAACTCCTAGTATCCCCCTTAATAACCCTTATAGTAGTCCCCGATCTAATCCCCTATATAACCCCCTTTAAGGAGTTTAGACTACGGCTCATATGGGTACCCCAAGGAGGGAGCACAATTTTGACAATACCGTAGATGAGAAGGTTCGTGACTCCAGGTCTCTTTAGGCATGTCTTTGTGCTGTAGACTGCAGCCTTCGGTAGCACAATCCCCGGCAAGCTGCCCTACGCCCTAAACCCAGACTGTAGCTCTATAAAGAAGGGGTCATCAGGTAACGAATCTTCCCTTGGGTTGTAGTCAGACGGGAATTACACAGGCTGAGCTGTGATCGTTTGCGGGTCACAGAGTGATGAATGAACCCCAAATTCATGGTGATGAAAGGTTGCTGGAACCTCCCAGAAATCCAAATTGACTCCCCTTGCTGCAAGTGGATCCCAATCCGCCAAATGGCGCACGCCAAACAACACGCCGGATTTTCTTGACAACTTTAAAAAAAGGCAGCACGCCCAACGCGCGAACGGATTCTGCACATTCGTAGCCTCCGAAAGCTTCAGAGTGACTAAAATACAAATGCAGGTTTCAATAAATGGGGCCCTCATGTCAAATCAACATAACGAAGCCCTTGCTACTGGCGACTCCCAAAAAAGGGTATGCCCCACGAGTTGCAAACCCTTAATTGAAGCCCCATGATTGTGGTCATGGTTGGCTCATGTTAGGTGGTCACACCCACCCACTGTCCGGGACCACAGCAGATAGGGGCATTTGTATTCGTTCTAGTTTCTTGAAGTACCACGTAAACCCTAAACCCCTAAACCTTAGACCCCTAAACCCTAAACCCTAAACCTTAAACTCCTAAACCCTAAGCCTTAAACCCCTAAACCCTAAACCTTTTTTGCGGTTGGGCGGATGATCTGAGGTTCATGAACTTAGAGGCCTTTCCCAGAGGCTTTGCCTACTTTTGAGACGCGGCCTGAAAAGGCGAGGCTTGAGAATACTCTAGGTGGACCCCCAACCAGTAATAGTGACTACTATGGATATTGTGAATCTCATCGGTCCCTTGCTCTGTCAGGGGTCTCTAGGCTTAGACACGCAGGGGCCTGTTTGTGAAGCTCAAAGCAAAATTCGCAACCACCATCACATGTTCCCTTGCTGTGCACCCGGGCTCCCTCTTCTTTTTCGCGCATTCGCAAACTGGGGTTCTCAAGTAGCAGCAAAAGGATTTCTGCTGTTCAGCTCCTTGGCTTTGCCACCGCGCACATATCATTTCTCCCCAGTCTGCTTTAGCCGAAGTAGGACGCTATCTTCTGACCTGTCAAGGGGCGCACAGCCTTGACTATTTGGAGACACCAAGCCCGCAGCTCATCAAGGGTAGCCCGGCTCGGGCCATCTTTTTCATTCAGTCAATCGCATCAACTGAGTCAGTTGTCATGCGGGCGAGTGTGAACCTTGTCACCCCTCAGTTGAGGGCTCACCGGTGAGGCAAACGTCATGTTGTGCTCCGAGGAGCCCGACAACATAACGTATAGCTGCCTTTGCAGCCGCGGAGCTGTGCTCCGAGGAGCCCGACAGCATATGCGTCAGGCAGGGACGTTGATATTACAGAAGAAAGTGGTACAGGATATAGGTACATGAGAGCCGGCGGTTTCGCAGGCCTCCCCAGTTGGTGTGAGGAAACCTCAAACACCATGCTGAAGGTAAACTGAAATCAAGGCTGTAGCGAGTGTCACATATCACAAGGACATCTTCAGCAAGCGCGAGGAGACCTCAAGCGCTGCCGTTTAAAAAATGATGTCTGCCCTGTGTTCGCATGCATCACTCAGGGGGAACTGGACTTAAGCATTCAGTCACGGAGGCGTTTGGCTACCCTGGGCTTCTGCGTGCTCGATGTGGGCTCCTCGCACTCTCGCTCCGACTCCGAGTCTGAGGTAACAAGGATGTGTGAGATGTGATCTCGGATTAGGGTGGAAACCTCAAGGTCTTTACGGACAGCGTGTAGAAGAGCCTGGGTGAGGTCGTTTTCATACAACGACCCATCGAGCACCTCTTTCCATAGGGCCCTTACACTAGGCCCTGCTTTCGAAAGAAGCGGCGTAGCGACAAATCCAGCGTAGTCTTGTACCGCTGTATTCTTTTCCCTGTGACAGCCACTGGCGCAGTGTCTTGAGTGTGTTGGTCCCGCGCAATAATTTGAAATGCCGAGGCTACTACTGGCCGCAGCCGCAGTTTTGGCTAGTGGCAGTTCAAATGATGAATCCGACTAGTGTCAGTGAACCTTCCAGCCCGGAGCAAGGAGACCAGTTTGGGGAGTGGAGTAACCACAAGCCCCGTAGCAATGTTAATTCCTGCTGTACGCAAGAAGGTAGCAGTTAGTTTGTATGGCTTGCTTGGTGGCCTCGCTGCCTCTCTGTGCTGCCTGGCCATCGTCATGCATCATATGTGTCTGCCATATGTCTTGATCATCCCCTGGGAAGTAGAACGCTTGATAGTGGCCAGCGGTGACTACCTGCCCAACATGAAGTACTCCTCCGCGTAGTTGGTACGCAGCGTGCTCAACCCCTCCAGCATGATCTACGAAGTGAGGTATATTTATCCGGCGTTGTAGCTGAAATGACTGTCGGGTCTTCCGGATGCCCCGGTCAGTTTGCATAAAGCGACTGACCTGCAGGATCAAGAGCTCCGGGAGTAGTGTGAATGCATGTACACTATCTTGGTCATGCCACTGCTGGATGGCCTCTTGGATTCTGAAGGGCCGGCCCATCGGCAACCTGATGTGAGGGCAGGTGAACTGTTCACCAAGTATCGCATATGCACTCTCCTCGTGCCTTCTGGCCTCCCATCCTCCCTGCAGGGCTGCGCATGCCGTGCGCTGACAAAGGTGTTGAAGGAACTCGGCTGCATCATGCTGGCGAGTGGGTCGTTGCCACCCTGGCCACACGTATGACCATACTGGGTCCCTGGCAATGTTGACTGCCTGATTGGATCTGGCGGCCTGCATGAATGAGCCATTCAAGTTACCTAGGCCTGTTATCAGGCCCTCACGGGATCTAGCCTGGTGAAGCATGTGCAGGACAGCATTTGCATAGCAGATGTTACGCGGATCAACAAGAGCCAGTGCAGATGCCCTCGGCTCACTGGAATTGTTGTCCACAGTCCTCCATGACAGCAGCGAGCCATTTTTTAGCGGTCCCCTGGATACACCCGTGCACGCAGGATCGCGAACCTTGTCAGCAGGAGGTTGAGACTGCTGCCGATGATTGTCACCTGCTACTCCATGCGTGTGATGGATCCCCTGTTGAGTGGAGGCTCCGTTCTGCACAGATTTGTCTTCCCCATAAGCTTTGGCGCATCCATAACCATCAGAGTGGGTTTGATGGGATGAGGTCGTCATCCGTGTCCGAACCGAGCCTCGCCCCTGAAAGAAGGAGGAGATACTGCTTTGAGCAGTACCGCTTTTGCCTGCGATGTTCGAGGGCAGCGGAGACCGCACTTCCCTCTGCATCTCACTTGTTGAGCCCGACTGGTGCGCAGGAGGCCGTTGCCGACTCAGAGCTGTAGCTTTTCCAGCTCTTTCGCCAGGGACGTCTTGTTGACCCTTTCTTTGCGCAGCCGAAGTCCTATCACCTTTCCCGCGCAGTTGTTGGCTAGCAGGTCTAGGTCTCGATAGACCTCCGCCGCGTGTTGGTGGATGGTCAGGGTCAAGAGCATCACCACGACATCTGCCTGCAGATCTGGGCGCAGCGGCTTGAGGCTTTGGAGCCGATGCACTTTGCGTCCTTTGCCGTGTTCCTGAGCAGGTTGGCTACGGCTTGCTTGGTCTGTTCGTGGGAGAGGTTGTCCTTGCTTGAAGGCAGGGCCTTCTTCTGCTCCGCATTCCACTCTGTGTACACCCACTGGAGCGGAGTCCGCAAAATCCAGTTGGCCGTTTCCGCTGTTTGGAGGGCTTGGGTGTCCTGCTCGATTTTGGTGAGTCTGGCTTGCCATTCGAGTAGTAGAACTCCCCATAGAGTGGCTCGCAATGTCGTTGTCACCGTGCCTGCCTCGTACTGTTGGTGCCATGCCTGGCTGGCTTGAATCAGCATGTTGATCATGCCATGGTTGCCGGTTTCCAGGAAGAGGACATAGCTCCTGTCTGCTTCCAAGGATGTTAGCTGTTGCTCGTGCCTGGCTGCCGCTCCGATCAGCGTGCGCAGTGTCCGGCGGATTGTCGCTTCGTCGAGCTCCGAATCCATCCATAGCTCCTCCTCTTCCTCCTGCTCGCGTGTCCTCTTGGCATATGGCATTGCCTTTCCGGCTCCTTTTCCCACGCCCTTGCGGAACTTGCTCTGCTGCGCCACTGGCGTCCGCTGCCTGCTCTGCGGCCCTTGTCGTGGTAGGTTGGGCGCCGTTGAGGCAATTGGGGAGCTCAGAGCCCAAACCGTCGCCAGCTGCTGCTCTGGCGTCGTCTCCATGGGCGTGGTGATGCTGTCATGTCGCAGGCCTAGCTGCAACAGGGGTAGGCACTTCCTCCTATGCTCTCGGGCCGATTTCTGGAAGCGCACTCTACACCACGGGCATGGCCTGGTGATGCTTGCGTTCAAGACAGTTGCAGAGTCAGCGATTTTTCGTGCAATCTCATGCTGAGGTTCGTGCTTCTGTTTGATGTGCCTGCGCCAAGCCTGTATGTCCTGCACCGGTTCACCACAAAGCAGGCACCTAGTTTTTGCCGTAAGGGCCATGTCTTTCAGCTGATCGTGGTTATCATCAACTAGTGGATCCGCAAGGCAAGCAGATATGTCTACAGCTGGGCATGACATGGGCCATGTCTGCGGTGGACCAGTTTCCTGCGAGGTGGAGGCGTCACGTCGGTGTATTTCGGTTGAAAGAGGACCGGGCATTGCGAACTGTGTCTGTCTGTTCCGTGCACAATTCTACCACACCATCGACAGTTCTGACTTCTTTTCAGCATGTATTTGAACTCTGTGCATGCCTTGTGGAAGTCAGCAGTGAGTAGCGCAGCAAGCTCCTTATGCACACGCAGAATATGGGTCTTGATCATCCCTCCTTCGGCTATCCATCTGCCGCAGAAGCCGCAGTGTTGGCTAAGATGTGCTCGGTGTAGATCAGCCTGTGTGAGGACCCCTTCGTGCTGCTGCAGGTGTTGGAGGACCCTGTCCTGTTTCAGCAGCGGTACGCTGTCTTCGTCGGAAGCGGAGGGCCGCTCGTCCGACGTCTGCTGCGGTGGCTCCAGTGCATCTGCAGCCACTACCGGACCAGGTTGTGTAGCTTTGGCTAGAGGAACCTGAGTTGAATCTGGCTCGGGCTGCGAAGCTTCAACATGGGGAACCGGAATTAGGGGTGGTGTCGCCTGGGCATGCGCTTGTGGTGTGGTCTCTGCCTGACGCGGGTACCAGTTACAAACATTTAATGTAATGTGACCCTGGAGGGCCGACCAATTGTACAGTGTTCTTTTGCAATGTCTGCATTGTGGCATACCTCCAATGAAATGCTGTTCCGGCTTATATTCAATGTTGACTCGGTCAGCTTGTATTTGCCCGTGTCTGAGTGCCTGGTGTTGCCTGAGCGCCTTTTTGGTAGAGTAATAAAGACCGCATGTGGGGCACGCATGCTGACCGTGGCTAGAGGCTTCTATGATTTGGGCACTCGTGGCTTGGGTGTCGGCCTGCTGCAGATTGCGCTGTTGATCTTGCCAGAAGGAGATAATACCTGGGCCCTTGGTGGCAGGATCGCAGGCGTCCGACTGTAGCTGATTTATCTTCCTCTCAATTCTAGCAAGAAGCATCTGTATAGGATCTTCCAGCCCAAATTGCTCTCGAACCTCACGATTGCTGATTTTTTGTTAGGTGTGCTGGCATGCTGACTACAGCTCGTAGCTGACGGTGGAACCAGGCTCGGAGTTTAGAAACCATATGCCCATTGAATTGTGTAGTGAGGAGGCCGTACATGGCACTGCTGACTACGCAAGTCTGCCACACACGAACCCTATGATGACGGGAGAAGCCTTGTCTGGCCCTGATACTCTTCCGCAGCGCTGTTACCTTGGACGCAGCTTCCGCAGTTCGAAAGTCCAAAGTCTGGTCAGAACCTTCCTTAAGGGATAGCTTGGTACCAAGATAAGTGATTGTGTCGCAGATGGGAATAAGAAACTCCGTGTTTCTGTCCCGTATTCTCCAATGCAGTTGTTGTTTCACAATGACTGTTTGGCTGCGTAATAATAAGGCTAGATTTTTCCGGATTAACCTTCAGCCCATAGAATTCCAGGGTGCTAAAAAGCTTCACAATAAAGGCATCCATGTTTTTCATGTCCTCCGTCGTCTTCAACAACCAATGCCCCAGATGATCGTCTGCATAGAGTGTGAGCGGAAGCTGCATATAGGTGTCTCCTCGGGCGTGGTCAGGTCCCACAGGACTTGCGACGAGAGTATGGCCCATAAGGCCGGCGCCAGGCGACAACCTTGGCGGATACCTTTTGTGGTGTCAACGGACGTTTGCTGGAAGCGATCCATAACCTTGTATGCAGCCTCTTCGTGGATGGCCGTAACTGTGGATCGTATGTCCGCGTCTACCTGGTGTGCCTGCAGTGCTTCATCTAGTTTGATCCTGTTGACTCTATCAAATGCTTGACTGAGATCGACTGAGAGCAGGCACCCTCCGGCTTCCGCGGGCGTTTGTCCAGTCTCCTTGCGCTGCCTCACAACGAATCTGTTGCCTCCTAACGCCTTCATGTTAGCCTTTATCTCCCTTACACAAGCGTTGACTCTAGCAAGCGCGTCCGTCGTGTCCCTGAATGGCAAGTAGGCAAATTGAGGAGATTGCGCGAGGCTCGGACCTGCTTGCTCGAGAATGAGGTTTTTAATGTGTCCGGCCAGGGCTTTACTATCAGGTCGTAACAAGCCTATGGGGCGAAGTGCCGAGGCAGAAGTAGGAGGCTTGTGAGGTTTAGGGATAAAGCAAAGTTGGGGATCTTTCCAAGCAGATGGCAGCGTCGTGTTTACATGTTGTAGTGTGTCTGCTGCTTTGGCAAGTGACGGAGCAAGCACATGTGAGCACGCCTTCCAAGCTGTGGCCGGAGCGGAGTCCGCAGGCACGGCCTGGCCTACCGGAGTGCACTGAAGCTGTTCTTGCCATTCTGTTGCTCGCATTGGCAATGTCAGTGCCTCTCCGGCGCGAGCCGGTACCTCAACAGCCGGTGCAAAGAGTTGCTCGCAGTGCTTTACCAGGGCTTTGTGTTCCTGCAGCAATGACATGGGCGAGCCATCCGGATGTCTGAACATGATGCGTTGCTTGTGCTTCCAGGGCATGAGACGCTTAACCGCCCCATATAGGCGCTTTATGTTGTGTGATTGAGCGGCTCTCTCCGCCTGCTGCAGATGTCCGAGAGTAATGGCCTTCTGCTGCTGCTGGCTCGGGCCATCTTTTTCATTCATTCAAGCGCCGCCA